TGCTGTTCCCAGCACTGCACATTTCTGGACTGAGATGTCCGATGTTGTTCCCGGGATCTGTTGCAGTTTGTTTTGTTTTGTTATTGTTTGGTTGGTGTCTATATGAAACTGCGACATTGCGCAATTTATTGGACAGACTTGTTTAAGATCACACAGCGTAATTTGGGTGGCATTTTATTTCGTATTTTTAAATCATCTTTTTATTTTTGACAATATCTGTAAATTTAGTTTCCTGCTCTTAATTGGGAATACATACTTGATGGTTTTAAATGCTCCTGAAATTAAGTGCTGCTTGAAGAGCCTATATTGTGTATGTATGTGACGTCACTGAAGGCCTAAGGTTGAAATGCACTGCCCGCCACTGATTTCACCCAAATAAAACGTAAGGGAAAAAGAAAACACAACAACAACCAAGGAAAAACAAAACATGCACCCATCCATCCATTTTCCAATCCGCTTTTGCTCACAAGGGCCACATTTTTATTTTATTTTATTTTATTTTATTTTATTTTATTCTTTAAAACAAGCGTAAAGGTAAAATTTGATCATTTTAGAGTTCTTTTATTTTGAAATGCAACATCAGATCACAATGAAAGTTCGGTTTGGAAAGCATTTATTTTGAAGGTGGTCAACGGCGCTCGGTGTCGGCAGATTTCCGTCATGCAGAATATTAACAATAGTTGGCTTGACCGCTAGTGATGGGAATTCCGGCTCTTTTTAGAGAGCCGGTTCTTTTGGCTCAGCTCACTAAAAAGAGCCGGCTCTTTCGGCTCCCAAATGGCTCCTCAGTTTTTTTGTTGCTTAAATTAATTTACTCCCAAAAATAATGTAAAATTATGTGTAAAATGAATTACGAATATAAAAAATGTACAGTATATCAAATATTTATTATTTATATGGCTTTATATTCTTCTGAACATACTCAACATGGCGTACAACGTGGAGTGCTACAAAAAATAAATTACAAAGTACAAAAACAAAGACCCATCTCAAAACAAGGTCAACAAAAAGTTCCAATCTCTGATTGTGTATATTTATAAGCGTTTAACTATTTACAGTAAAACAACATAAGTAAGCTTTGATTACCACACAACAAATTACAAATTAAAATTTGGTATTGGATATTTTAACCTTGCCCAGTCTACACGCTGCCTTTGAACTATCAATTAAGTTGAAATTAGTCCAAATTTCATTGCGTTTCCGATCCATTTTCTCACCTTTCCACTTTCCACGTGTAGTTTTTTTCTCTGTACTGTAGCGCTATCGAGCTCTCTCTCGTCTCCCTGTCTCTCCTGTTCCCGCAGTCTCGGACTGGGACGCAAGGAGGGATGGACACCCTTGACCAAATTCTCCTGAATTTGTAGTCAACGTGCTCAAACCTCCACTCGGGGCGTCCACCATCATCTCGCTGGACCATAACATCCTTCGTTGAAACTTCGTGTCCGAATGAAGTCTTCTCGGCGTACGTTGATATTTCTCGGCCTAGTTTAGCTTAGCCTAGCTTGCTAGCCGCTAACAAACAAAGAGCCGCTTGTGCGAGAAGGGTCCAGCTGCAGACCCGGAGGAGGCCGATTCAGGGAAAGGTAGGTTTTGGCAAGTAAGGTTGCGCCGGATTTGACGTCAGAAGGATGATGCCCGAGTCCGAAGTAAGTCGCATGTGGATCTTAAAAAGTTTAAAAGGCCCTGTAATTGTAAGATAATTTAACAGCAAAACCTAACCCTAACCTAATTTTAGTTGTATTGTAAAGTAGGTTGTCAAATAAGTAAAAGTAATTCTATCTCAAATTAGTTTGATAAAAAAATTAATTAATTAATAACTTTAACTGAATTTTTAAAGAAAGATTATTATTCAAATAAAATAATTTAAATTCCCCATTACAATTAATTAACATTTCACTTTCATTTGCAGTCGT